CAATATTTTTGATGAAATTTAAATTTTAAGAAAATGCAACGGATAGCAGATCTTTTTTTCGCGCGAGCGAAATCTCCAATTGGCAAAATCTTAATTAAGTCTACATTAAAGATTTGGAAATCATGAAAAAAAAAAATAATTACACGAGCTCGTGGTAGAACACGGTTTCAAAGTTTGATGCGAATCTTAGCGGAGCACCCTGTATAGGCGAAACCGTGCCAGGCTGATGCCGCCGGTGCCAGGGCGCAATTGGAGAGCAATCGACTGAACGACACGCCGCAAATCAAACTGTACCCGCGCGTACTTCCATCCTCTTCGAGTTGTGCCGCGCTGCGCCGCGCCGCGCTGCGCCGCGTCACTCGTCCCCTTTTCTAGGTCCCCCTTTCGCCCGCGATGGTGTCCGCGTTTACCCTTTTGGACGCGCCTCCGCTGTGTCCTCTCAATTTGAATCGACGTTTCTCCGTGCGCCGGAGCGGTTCGAGCAGATGCTGCGACCGATGTATCACCTCGATGGGACGTTTCGTGCGTCGCACGCGCCGCTACTGTTAATTGCATCGATTGTTTTCGGGCCGCCGATCGTTCGACGGCGGCGGATGGTCATTGGATAAGCTAAAGAGGATTAAACAGAGGAGAAGTTACGCGGCGACAATATGCCACGTCGTGAATTTACGGTGCTCTGTAGTGGAAGCGAACGTGAGCGGCAGCATTTTTAACTGGCGGTTGATGGCGATTTTTGTTGAAAAATAATTTGTTCCATAATTCCACAGCTACTCTAATTAAAATAAATTTTTATTAGGTTTCTTAAATTAATTATACAATAGTATTTGATGTGATTAATAATTAGAGAATAACGTGCCACAACTGCAACGATGTACTGTAACATATAGATTTACGCTTCTCCTCGGCGGTGAAAATGAACATAAGTCATTCTGTAGCCATGTTTTTTAACTGACAGTTAGTGAAGCATAGCGAAACTTTTATTGTAACTTTTTCCATGATTCTATTTTAATAAAAGTAAATTTTAAATACATTTTTTTAAATTCATTAATAATGTTTGATTAATAAAGTTGGAGAATTGCATGTATAATTGTATATCTGTAATAATACTTGAACTTTAAATTCTTATTTAGAGCTCTAAACTATTAATTTATTTAACTATTTATTTATAAGTTGTTATAATGTAAGATAGAGTATAATACTGTAATAATACGCGCTCATAATATATTTTATATTATTTATAAAAATAATTATTTAAGATTGCGATATATAATCAATATTAAAATAAAAGAGTTAGGTACTTTTAAACTTATTGCACAAGGATCTGCAATTCTTTCTTTTGTACTACGGATAACAATATAGCTAAATAATGCAGCTAAATAATTTGAATCTTCGTGAAACAAATTTGTTGCCAATTTTCTTTATAGAGAAAGTTTTTCTTCCAAAAATTAAGTAACACAATTTCCAACTAGATCCATTTGTATCTGCTGACTTGAAAATTATCGCGTTATAATGGCGGCTCGATCAAATGTTTAATTCATGTCACCTAGTTGGAATTCGCGTAAGCTCGTGTTACGCATCCGATTGCCGATACATCGGTTTTGTTAATCGGCAGAATTAGCCAGCGCCTCTCCTTTGTATGCAAGTTCGAACCGTCCAATTATTTCCGCGTAACGTCGCGCTCCTCTGATACGCGTACATCCCTCGCATTGCATATCCCCGTTATTGCTGATTGAATCGATCGGTTTTAATTTCGCGGTTACTGCGCCAGTACCGTAAATCAGGCCGCCTGCGATGCACGCTGTCGGCAATGCCGTGCACCTTGACCCCCATTAAATCACATGATTCCTAATCCGAATGTTTTATCTTTTTTTTTTAACTATGAAGATCAGCTATGAACTATGAAGATGAGCGTTATTTTACTTGTTAGTACTGCTTTCGTCGCTCTAAATTGCAATGGCAGGAAGAATGATCAATGTTAGTGACAGATTATTGTTTCTATTTAATCGAATTTAGACACATTGAAATCACTGTACGTTTTGGTCACGATGTTATCGGCAGTGGAAAAAAGTTGGTATTAAAAAAATATTTATTGTCGAGCAACCATATTGTTTGGAGCATAGATTCGTTTGCGCAAAATGCAATCCTGTTAAACTCATTGCACAATTACGTCGCAAATATCCGCCACGGTAAACATCAGTTTCGGACCGCGCGCGATCGCGAGGGATTAAACCAGTTCGGCGGCCGGTGTTTGGCGCCGAACTCGTCGATGATTTCCGCGCGTGTACACGCCGGATTGGCTTACTATTTGCGGCGCATCGGCCGATGCGCCACGCCATTGTCGCCGTTAATTGAAACGATCGTTTGCAGATCCGCGGTCGATCCGCTGGTCGGGGCTCCGGCCTACCTCCGCTCCCTTCCCTCGCCCCCCTCCTGCCCCCTCCTCTCTCGTTCCCACCCTTGCCCCCAAAGGTCGCACGTGCGTGTCGCGATATGCAGGTGCACGCGATCGGCATTCTGCATTTTTACCACCGCACTTCGATTGATCGATGATCTCGATGAAGCGCGCACCAGCGCGCTCATCTCCGCTCTCTCGTGGTTGTCGCGCAAAAAAAAAGCGTTGAAAAAGCGCTGTACAGAGTGAGCGACAATGTTGTGTAACAAACATTAACAGGAGCGTTTGTGGTAGCGCTTGAGGAGAAAAACAGATGCCACACGTGAACTTCGATTCTTTGTTCGACTTTATCACGGAGCTTTTGTTGCATTTACATTTCGAATCCACAAGATGATATAATTTTGCTCGTTTGTTAATATATACCAATGATTAAGTGCGCCATCAAGCTTTTATCGAATATCAACCATTTCTCCAACTTCGGTTTCAATAAATTCATTGCTAAAATTGATTTCAACAATTCTGGAATTTATTAGTAATACTAGTCGCTCGCGCGCCTGGCAGAAACTGTATTGCACAATCCGCGCAAACAATGCGCCAATATTTCCCGTTTTTATCAATTTATTGAAACGTCCGAATATAGCGTTTCTCCCCGATATTTTCAATCGAATAAATTTCACTGCAAAAAATTCGACCGGCGGTGCGTATTTTAGCCACACCTGCGATCTCGAGGATGGCGCGCGCGCGCGCGCGTGCCCTCGTAGTTGCTGCCTCTACAGCAATCTCGCCCTTAACTCGTGCCGTGCTCGGCGCGAAGCGCTTACTCCGCAAGTACAAATTGACTTTTTTTCCCTCCCTCCCCCGCGGGACGTGCCTGATTGCTGAAAATGCAAAATAAACGGTGAGCGCGGCTATCCCGCCGACCTCAATCCGGCCCATCCTTTTTTCGAGACACGCGCACGGTGAAACGAGGAATTCTCTTTGTTCGCGGATTCATTCCGCCGGAAACTTAATTTTCTCGCGTTTCCCCCTCGAAGCTCCGTTGCTCCGCCTCGTGTCCGTCGTTATGCCCGAAGAAACAAAGCGTTATCGCCGCGATAAAGAGGTCAATAGCAATTTTTACCGAGGAAATCGGCGATAATGTCTTTGTTGAATGGCGGTCCATTAAGCCCGCCCCCTGTCTGATTCTTGAAAATGCAATAGCGGAGCAGCGACCGCCGCCACGCCGCGTCGGCGTGAGGATAAATTAATCGTGACGTTGATCGTTATTTATGAGTATTTCTGCTTGGGAAAACGAGGCAGTCGGGCTTACTCGTCGGATATGTTTCCGCGCTATGAATATAAGCATTACTCCGCTGACGGTTAAAACGAGTCGGACGTCGTAATATTTTTTTTATACGACTCCTCTTTATAATTTTGCTCCAATACATGCGTTCTTAACACTTCGCTCACGTAAATTCTTTCATGAAACTTTACAAGATTTGCTTTCAATCATTCGGAATATTTCATCTGATTCGCTCTTGATATGAGATTCGAGTAACGATCGTAATATTTTACAATATTCCAGGTGTTTTCGATTAGTCGAATCATTGTGTGTATGATTTAAGATTATTGTACTTGATCACGAAACAGTATTGTAGGTTTATATATAAAATTGTGTAAAGTATAATACATATATAATAAAATTTATACTAAACAAAGATTTATTTTGTATACGAAATGAGATAGATCTAAATTTGAAATTAAGACTCATTTAAGCAGTCCTATTTTCTGTTTGGTGCGATATACGGTATTTTTGCGTGAAAAAGAACGAAGTCGACCGTAAAGAGGTCGAAACAATTTTAAATGGAGCGCAAGCGTAAATGGCCGCTGCAGCGCCGGTGCTTAAAGACGATAAAACAGGATGCGTATGACTATCATGCGAGTTATGTGAGAAAGCACAAGCGTTGTGCAAGATGCACAAACACACACACATACGCACAGCATGCACCAGTGAGCATTTGCGGTTTAAACACAGTGGATATCTTCGAAACCGTCGGTTGCGTAAGTAATGGGCAACGACGGTGACACACACGACTATCGTGATATCGAAGAAAAATACCGAGAGCATCAATATTACTCCCATTTGAAAGTTCAACGATTTTGTTGTCTTTGAAAATGCAACCAACTGCACCGTACCGCGTATATACATTGTTTTCCCTACATTTAACATTTTATTGTATTACCGCGTCATTTCCGACGAACGTTTAATGGTGCAAAATTATATTCCGCAGTAAGGTATAATTTATTAGATTTTTCATAAACGGAAAAGCTTTAAACGGGTAAAGTAAATCTTTTTATCGAACGGTAAATCACGTTTTCACGATTTCAGATTTAATTGTGTCATTGGTTAATGATGCAACGTCATTTGCAATCGTTTAATTTCGGATGAAATTTCGCGAAACTCTAGGAGTATCTTACCTCGTAATACGCGGAATACATTATGTGAATAAACGTTATTTCTCCTCTCCTCCCCGTTCTCGTATCCATTAAGCGGATTACATCTCTAAGTAGCATAAATTACCTCCGTAAATAAGACAGTCGCCTCAGGTATGCGTCGCTCCTGTTTCAGATGTTTTGAGCAGCACCGCGCGGAAAGATGAAGACTGCGGTCGGCTCGTTCCTCCTTTTGCTCATCGGCGGCGTCGTCTCCGTCGAATGGAAGCACAGCGCCGTCCTGGACAACAATTTCTTGGTGCTCTGGACGCCCGATGAGAAGGACGTTACATTCGAGATCCAGGTGAAGACCCTCGGCTACGTCGGGCTCGGTTTCACGAAGGACGACGGCCGCGCCGGGGCTGACATGGTCATCGGATGGGTCGATAACAACGGCCAGGTCCACCTTCAGGTGAGTGTCTTTTTATCCAGTATCAGGTAATATCTGATTCCTTGCGGTTCGCCAGCAAATCTCCTTCGGCCATCTCGCCTGGTTGCGTTAAAGTATGTGGCACTCGCGCGTCATAATTACGAACGAATATAATTATGACTTGAAAAAAAGTTGATCAAGTGTGTCTGAAAAGATAGCAATCTATAATATCTCCGACGAAAAATTGTAATAAAAACTATTACTTTTCGAAGCTTTTGAAATTTCAACATTGAATATATTGGTTTAATAAAATAACGAAAATTAAATTTCTATTGAATTAAAGATTATTCGAAATACGTAAAGAATATGATTTTGTTCATAAATTTACACTTGTGAAAATTAATCAATTTCAATTTTTAAAGGATTTCATTTTTTGTTATTAAATACATTCTTAACAAGATGACCATGTTAACCACTGATGTGAATTATCACAATTTATCACTTTAATAGAAAAAAAAAAACGTTAGTATATTCCTATTGATTCCCTATCGTTTCGGACATACAAAGAGCTACAAATGGAAATAGTTATCCCGTAAAGCGTTCGCATTAAAGCTCGCTGATATTTAAATCAACCACGCGCGACGTCCCGATTGTGTACGCAAAGTGCCGGGAGGGGTTGAGGGGGAGGCCCGAGAGTAATCCAGAATAATTATTTCCGTGCTACTGATCGAGTGGAGTTCCCTCTTTGAATATTGTAAAGTCCGCCCTGGCACGCCAACATCGACGATGGAACGCGCTTAATGGTAGTCATTCGGGAGATAAGTAATGGCTCTCCCGTTTCGATCGGCGCATCGGATAGTTATCAATCATGCCCACTAAAGCCGGCAGCCTGTCATTACGCGTTCTCCTCATTTTGCACGACACTCGGTACATCGAGGACTCGCCCGCGGAGGCGATTGCCTTACGTAATTTTTCCGCGAAAATGCGATTCCCGCGTAACGCTTGCCCATCATCCTTGATGCCGTTCATCTTCGTCGCGACCGAGAGAATCTGCGCGACTATAAAATAAATGTGGCCGCGGTTTGCATCAACTAATCAGACTATTACAGATATTTGATACGATCTCTCCCTCCTTCCCTTCCTCCTCTTTTCTCTCTCTCTCTCTCTCTCTCTCTCTAAAAATGAATATGTTTTTAATATATATGCAAATTCCAAACAGAGTACATTCAATCTTTAACCATTATAGAATCACGTGAACAAATTGTGGTTTTTTGATGAACGAGAAAACCCAACGTTACAAGTAAGGAAGTTAATAGCTATCATTTTTTTTAATTACGATCATCTCCCCCTCGAGATCAGATCGATGTAGATAACGTGGTCTATCATCTTCGCTGAACTCAATAAAAGAAACGCTGACGATCACGTAGCTTCGACTTCGCCATTTAATTCCGCGCTAGCGAGGCCGAGGGAGAGAGAGAGAGGTCCGCAAACTTCTCCCGGATATATCATGAGCTGTCCGCACTGCGGTTGGATCCTACGCCGCCGTAATAGTTCGGAGTTAATATCGTGTGCATGTGCGACGTGAGTGCCGGCGGTGATGGTTCTTTGAATAACAAGGCGTCATTCAAAGGGACGCCGACGCGTTCCGTGGGCATGCCAAAGAGAGAAAAGCTTACACGGGCCCAGGCGTAATCTAGTTCGCGCGATTTCCACATGAACGACCACGAGAGAATCTCGTGGCCAAGCCGCGACGTTATTTTCGACCGCTTCTGCTTCTTCTTCTTCTTCTTTTTTTTTCCTTTAAATTTAAAACGTCGTTAGTCGCGCATTTGGGAACGCGGGCCCTCTTCATAGACCGGACGCGACGGGGATTACACGCTATCCACCCTTTCATCAGCGTTACGCAGCCGTTGACAGTCCCTGGCCCGGTTCTTTACTATACGGCCGTGGGGATAGGTGCGTCATTTCTTCTTCATCTTCCTTTTTTCTGTTCTCACTCCTCGTCGTATCTCTTTCGTGCAGCGAGCGCGGACTGAATCAACTGAGAAAGGAGAGAGCGCGCCGCTCGCTCGTCGCGTCGCACAAGCTTTTTTACCGTATTTTTACCGGCCACGCCGCGAAACATTCATTTCGCTTCGCCATTATTCCCGAGTTATCCCCCTTCCGCATAGATTTATCAGCGGCTACTTTGCGCTCGGCTTTTCGTTGCATGTTAGGCGTCAAAGGAACACCGCAAATGCTCCCTTCGTCCATTTTTATTTCGGTGGGGAGCGTGTAATGCCGTGGCGTTATTAAATTTCTCAGCGGGATTATAACGCGTTATACACCAGATAGATTTTTATGGAGTCAAAAGAATATTGTGATAAAGCTATTCAAGCGAAGATATAAAAGAAACGCAATGGGCTTCTGCTCTTGCTACAATTTTGGTAATAATTATACATTGATATGATTCATTGCTAAATAAATGAGATGAATAATATAATCCAATAGATAATCGTATCTTCTTGCGATAATTATTTAAATTGTACATCATTAGTGACATGGAAGTTTTTATTTCGTTTTAATTACTATTTTATCGATTGCTATTAAAGATATTTGATTAACGAAACAATTTATTATGAAGTTAACTTAATTATAACTTGAAACGTAAACTTAATTATTACAATATTCTATGTACATTCACGATGTTTAAATTTTTAAAAAAAAGCTTCCTCATTCGTCTTCATTTTAAAACGCGGATTCGCTTTTGCAACAAATAGACTGCTTATATTTATGCGATCGTGATTGGTAGCGTTGGGCACATCACGTTTACATTATAGAGACCTCCCGACGTTTCTTACAAAATGGAAAGCAGTCGTAACCGGGGAGGACGGGATATAGGAAAGCAATCTTCTACGACGAGTATCGCGAGGGTCGACTGAGAGTGGTTAGGTGGGTAACGCATAGATCGGTATCTACGTAGGTATCTTTATGTCAGTGTTTCCCAAATGGTGTTCCTCCGGAACGTCGAATAAAATAAAAGAATGGAAAAATTAATCCACAGTCGTATCGCGATTTTATTTATTTAATTTTTGATATTATTTGTTCCGGCTGCTTCTTGTAGCTTGCATATAAATACTCTAATATCTTTTCCTTTTTATGAAAACTTTTTATTAATACGACTGAATCTGACAAGAGAAAAGATATTGCAATCTAAATTCAGATATGCGTAATTATTAACAGAAATGAAATAAAATGTAAAAACAATGTCGTTAGCATAAATTTAGTACGCGGTCAGTTATCGAAATTTAAAGCTTGGCATTTTAATGTCGTTTCTTTGCGGGTACGTAATATATATGGATTGAGCATGGATATATATATGTGGGCTGATGAAAGTCTATGCGATGCTCGCAAGCGGAAACGGTGTATTAGAAAAGAGAAAAAATATTCCGTCGTCGTCCCTTGAAGTCGACGCAATTACGTGCCGTATGACGTATTCCGACGAATTCAGTCGCCATATAACAAATTGGGAAACACTGCTCCACGTGGACGGGTAGATGGAAAGGAGATAGTCGGGCTGCAGATCGCGTCCGTCTCGCGTGTCCGCAATTTTTCCGGCAGAATCGTTGCCCGCTCGTTCCATAATGCATGCCGCGCGCCGCGCAATGCCCTATACGATGCAGCCGCGTCGCCGGAACGTTCTCATACGCTGTGAAAGAGAGGAGAGCCGATAGAGAGACGATGGACGAGGAGGCAGAGGGCGCGGGAGAGGCAGTTGCGGAGAGAGCGAGAGGAGGAGAGAAAGAGAGAAAGAAAGAGAGAGAGAGAGACTGGCATCCAATGAGAGCGAGAAGCTTTTTCGTTATGATCGTAATCTTAGAACCAGACCAGCCGCGGGCGTCCGGACCAGCCGGACGACTGCTACTCCGCTCGATTTCTTACTCGTCTCGCAGCCGTCCCTCCGGTCGATACGCGACTTTAATTCCGCCATTTGCGGGGGCGATGTATATGTACACGTACGCACATCGCAGAATGACGCAACGCAGCGCCCGCGCTGCAATCCGATAGGTATGCATGCCCGCGCCCGAGATCGCCCGAGCATTTGTCCACGTCGGGCGGCTGGCATGTAACGAGCAAAATCACTCTGATTGCGCATGCCATGTGAATTACATGCGCGAAACGCGGATCCCAATCGCAGTTTGCTGAGAAATTTCCGCGGTCGGTCGCTCTCTGTCGCGATGGTGCTCAAATATATTCCCTCCTGACAGGACACGAATGACATTCGCGGCTCAGCGATAAAAGCGAAGCATAATGAGAAGTTGCGAGTGATCGGCGGCGATCCCGCATGCGAATCCACGCAATCGCGAGAGAATATCGAGATCGAAAATCTTTCGTGAGGGGGAGATGTTAGCGTTTATTCAACTTCACTCGATTGTTTTGCATGGTAAATCTCGCCGTAGCCAGACGTGCGTCCAGCGCTGACTGTTTGCTGAATAAATGATACAACCCGTAATACCGCTAGTCGCAGTGTGCTACTCGTGAAATTCGTGCGCATAACTGGAATAACGGATGAAGGAGGAGAAAGAGGGTGGGAGGGAGGGAGGGAGAGAGAGGGACAGGAGGATACAGCAAATAACTGGATGAATTAATAAAGTCGGCGCAACAGTAGGGAGATATCGCTACATCATAGAAGACTCGCGGGATTATCCGTATACGCGTACGTGCGAGCGTATACGCGAAATAAAGCGCAAATTGCGCATTCGGCGCTCGACTATACGGCAAGTGCGCGCTCGCCCGCTCGCCCGCCCCGCCCCGCCCGTTCGTTCGCATAATCCCCCGTAATGCGCCGGCAGATTGCATTTTCAACGAGGGACCAAATAATTGCGTCCAATTGCGAGGTGTTTAATTCGTTAGGTTCCTCGCGTATTGTTTCGCGGCATGTCGGAACGGCAGCGGCGGGTGGCGCGCAATAATCGCGGACAGCTTTATTAAAATATCTCGCCGCGGTTTTCCCTCGCGGCACGTACCCTCCTCCCCTCCTCCACAGCCCCCTCCCCGACCGC